AATGCACTCTGCAATAACATCTGTTCTAAACAGCTTTTTTTTTTGCTGCGTGTCAGCAGGTAAAAAAAAAAAAAAGAAAGAAAATGAGAGCAATCTGTTCAGAGAGTAATTGAGATCAGGGATTTTAAAGCCCTCCACTTAGAAAATGTGAAAGAGGTCAAAGAGATGCTCTAAAATTAGATGATTGGAAAAAGGGTTATAATGAATCCTACGTTTGCCAACTGAGAATTTTGTTTCGAGGGTGCTTTTGAGTCAAAATGCTCTGCAGAATTCTGCTACAACTTTAATTTACATACATAAAAAAAATGAGGATTTACCAAAAAGTAATTTTAATAATATTTATTATTATAGTTATATTTATATTATTTATYATTAAATGCAAGTTGACCTTGCACTAGATGCTGTTCTGAACTTTAGATGCTTCTGAAGTTTACTGAGGAAGCAGTGCTTAGTAGAGTTTTTCAAGATGCAGGAATGGAATTAATATAACCACCTGCACCTTGTGCTGGACTTGGCATCCTGCAAGAATTAAGTATTTTTGTTGATAAAATCTGACGGAAGAGCTTTAAAGAGCTTTTCATATTCAGACCTTAAAAAAAAAAAAAAGCCTTTTAATACCTCATTAGACAGCAATGTAGTTTTCTGTTTCTTGTCTCCTCTTGCTTTTTATTAAGCATCTGACTAGAACCAGAATCTGTCAGTTTGAGTTGGCCTTTCTCTGCATTCAATATCCTCCTCTTTCATTTGGCACATTAAGGCATGGCTGTAACTGTTCTTCTTTGGTTCATTTTGATCTGTGATTCTTTGTTTCCCATGCTGTTTAATCTCCTGTTTAGCATCTTACACTGGATTCTAATTATCCTGACCAGCAGAAATTAACASAATGTGGTTTTACCAAGGTTTCTAATCCTCTATTTACACAAAATATTTTTGTTGAACAGTTTGCATTAAATGGAGGCTTTTTTTAACATGCAGATGTTGCAAACATGATGTTTCCAAACATGGAAAAAATGCTAGTTTTTATCTTGGAGTCTGAGTAATCTGCTGTGGTCAGCATGTACATGCACAAGCTCTAACAGTTTATGCCTGAGATGGATTTGGAGATACGTTTTCTTGACCTGGGTGGAAGGGCAGCCTTCCTTATTGTGCTCAACACTGTGCAGTAGAAGGTTGCAAATCTACAGTTTCAAGTTCATATTAGCAATATTTAGAGCTGTGCTGTRTAAAATTATGCTCAAAAATAAGACYTCAGAATCACCGAATGGTTGAGATTGGAAGGGACCTCTAGAGATCATCTAGGCCAACTCCCCTGCTCAAGCAGGACAGGGTCACATACAGGCGTGTCTTGAATATTTCGGAAGAAGGATAATAATGTAATATTTCATATGACGGGTAGAGAAGACGGTAGGTAGAGTAAAGGGTGGAAGACAGGGGGCAGACAGAGTGGASGGAAGGGTGGAGGTAGCGGGTAGTGTAGAGCCTATCCTAGGCTTAGGATAGGGTTAGGTTAGGGCAGATAGGATTCAGGTAGGTAGGCTTAGGACAGGTAGGCTTAGGATAGGGAGGGTTAGGGGAGGTAGAGTTAGGATAGGTAGAGTKAGGGGAGGGTGTCCAGGCTGCTGAAAGTGCTCGGAAAAAGTGGAAGACACCATCTGACGGGTCAAAACTGTGACTTACAGACAAAGAAACTTCTTTATGCTTCTCTGGGTGACAAAACCAGGTGCTCCAGAACAAAAGACAAGAAGTGTGAAGAACTCAGTAACAATTTAAAGGAAAGTTAGAGGAAATTAAACAAAACATGTCTCCTGAAATCAGTCTCATGGCAAGATAGAGGAACAGTTGTGAATCCAGCACTGAATTGAGTACAGTTTTTTTCTCACAGAAAATTGTGTGCTTTCTTATGACATTGGTCAAGGAGCACTGTTAAAAAGAGGTTCAACATCAGTCATGGGAAGTGAGTAGTACCTAGTGACTAGTTGCCTAGTACCCTTAACCCAGCAAAGACTTTACCTAGAATCCTTAACCTGGCTTAAATAGTTAAGGTGTCTGGAAAACGAATGATATCCTATGGATTCATACATGATCCTTAGTGCTGGATACAGCAAATTTAAAGTAGGCTCTCTGAAAGCTGAAAACATCAGAACTGAACTGTATTGAATTCCTACAGGCAAAAAAGAGCCACATGTATTTTCACTATTATATCTTCTCAGGACCAGTCTGGATAATCTCCCAATGATTTCTTTTTTTCTTTTTTCTTTTTTTTTCTAAAATGCTTGTAATCTGCCTTCAATGTTGTAACAGATATTGAAACCATACCCAGACTGTTCTTCAGTTGTTATAATACGCTTAGTAATTATGTGCAAAAATAGGCCAATTATGCTCAATCCAGTGAGCCTACAAGCTGYTCTTTGCCAGTTTTCCTTAATTATTGTTCCATACATTGCTTGGCTAATTCTCTTTTGTTTCTTCTTATAACACCAACTTTTACTCAATTTCACAAAATAAACTGAACAGTACTTGCTTGACTGCAACTATAAGCAGAAAATAGAACACTGCAGTGTTTTCCAGTATTTTCTTTAAATGACTGGTTGTACTATATGTTAGCAAGAACTCTTGRATGCTTTAAAATTTTACTTGGTAGGAAAAGGACCATG